CCATCTAAATAGTAGGCAGTCAAACTAAGCTGGCAGTATAGGATCCCCGTATGACAAAACAGCTGGATAGATAACTCCCCCAAATGGTTCTGCTCTTCCCAAGATGAACATCTAAAATAAGAGTAGGGAGGAGTAATAGGAGTAAGGAGGAGTCAAGAGAAGCTCATGTCTCGCAGTTGGCCACAAAGGGAAAGCTTAGGTGAGTCACTCACTTAGACTAATTGCTGACACTTGGGTGAGATGAAACCTATCCCTTAGAAGGAAGAGATCAGAGAACATTTGCTGTATGTCCTGAGCAATCTAGTGTGCGTCCACTTGAACCTATGGAATGTGGCAGGGTAGGGTGGAGTAGGGGAGAAGAGGAAAGGAGAAGAGGGAAAACAGAGTAGAGAGAAGAAGAGAGGAGAGGGGAGGAGAGGAGAGGAAAGAGGAAGGGATGGGATGGCCCAGCAAGGATGAGAAAGATATTTAAGCTTCTGTAGCTATAGGTAGGTGGAATATTCATAAACCAGTACACAGATACCTCATTCCCACTGAAGTCACTCATTATGCTTTTTGCCTGATTTCACACGCTTCATCCTGCCTGTCCCTAGGACACATGGCTCAGGTGGTGGCTGATGGATCACAGGGAGAGCCTGGCTGTGTTTGGGAGCTGGCCCATCACCTTGAACATCGCTTGACAGCTCCCAAAGCATGAAGCAGTTCCTATGTGCCCCAGCTAGGCACTATCCATCTGCTTCATGTCCTCTGTTAGAAACTGTGGATCAAGGTAAAATGTACCCTGGAGATGACAACTATCTAGGTCACCCTGGCCATGTCTACAGCTGGCAGAGTGGCAAAGGGAAGGGAGAAGGGTGGCACTTGCTGATGCATCAGAGCTGAAAGCTGATCGTTAGAGACACTGCCACAGCCTGAATGTTATAGATCAGCTACCGCTGACCTAAAACATTCACCTTGAGGTTCAAAGGATGACTTCTGAGCCTTGTTACTGCAGTTTTGGGACTAAAAGGGGTCCTGAGAAGCCCTCACAGGCTCATACTCAGGCGAAACAGCCTGCAGTTAGGCAGCTACGTGTCTATGGTACCAAGTGAGCTTTTAAATCTGGAAGCATCTGCCCCAGCAGCGATTTGATTTTATGCAATGTGTCTCATGCTACTGTATTGCGAAGCATGCCGCTAAATCCTTGCACATCAAAGGAACAAAGTAAATCAAGCAAAACTGCATAAACCACGTGATAGCTCAGGTTTGGCAAAAGGTGCTGAGACAATGCTGGAGGCTGTGGTCCTCTGGCTGGCAGGATAAAATCACACAGCTCAGAAGCAGTGCTGGTTTTCCTGTGCCACCAGGCAAAAGGCTTGTGGCTAAGGTTGGCTTAGGAGCTGGTCTGAAGTCAAGTGCTGCCGAGATCTAGTCCTGAGTTTGGTCATAGTTTTTCAGGTGGATTAAAGCATTATTCTTAATCTGTTTATGCTTCCATTTCCTGCTCCATGTTTTTTTCCCCGTCCTCCATGAGGGAGAGGAGGATTAATTAAAGTCCAGAGGAGGCCACGAGGATGATCAGGGACTGGAGCACCTCCTGTATGAAGACAGGCTGAGGAAGTTGGGGCTGTTCAGCCTGGAGAAGAGAAGCTGCGTGGAGACCTCAGAGCAGCTTCCAGTATCTGAAGGGGGCCTATAGGGATGCTGGGGAGGGACTCTTCATTAGGGACTGCAGTGACAGGACAAGGGGTGATGGGTTCACACTGAAACAGGGGAAGTTTAGATTGGATATAAGGAGGAAGTTCTTCCCTGTGAGGGTGCTGAGGCACTGGAATGGGTTGCCCAAGGAAGTTGTGAACGCTCCATCCCTGGGGGTGTTCAAGGCCAGGTTGGACAGAGCCTTGGGTGCCATGGTTTAGTGTGATGTGTCCCTTCTCATGGCAGGGGGTTGGAACTGGATGATCTTAAGGTCCTTTCCAACCCTAACTATTCTGTGATTCTATGATTCTAATTAAAGTGGAGACCAAAAAGCTTTGCAGCTGCTAAAGCATCGGGTTTACCCTTTGCTGGGCCAGCTCAGCTGCGTTCCCGTGAGTCAGTATCGCCATGCAGAATTTGACCACAATATTACTATTAATATTCAGGGTTTATACTCCTGCTCATATGGGGACTGTCGCCTTTTGCTGCTCTGCAGGTGTTGGTAGGAAAGGGAAATGGTACTTCTGAAGCCCAGCAGCTATCTCACTCCCTGGGACCACATTCCCTCACCTCTTCACTGATGATGGGGGAAGCCTAGGGGCTGGCTTAGACTAGATGCCCATTACTAGATGGTTTGCATTAAGTCAATGAAGGTCTAAGGCTCATTGCTTTGCCTGTGTGGAAGCGCTTGATGCGACATAGAGGCCTTGGGATACTTGGGACATCCGAAAGAGGGCTGATGGGTCTTCACACAGAATCTGTAAGACACTTGTGCACTTCTGGATCAGCAACTGGACACCAGATCATATTATATGTATGAATACTTATACATGGGCAGCTAAATAGAGCTGCTAGTCAATACCCCCCATGGAGATTAGGAGCAGTTCAGCCTGTATGGAAGCAGACACCTCCATCTGCATGGCTCAGTTGCTCTTCATGTACATGAGCAGGAATTCATATATATGGCTAATGTAGATACCAGCACATTGACACCTACATGCAGAGCTGAAACCAACCTCTGGCTTCCTCCTAATTCAGAACCTCCAGCACCAGTGCTGAGATCCTCTACAGAAGAAAGGAGAGATTGGGATCCATCCACTCTGGATGCTGACCTTATTTCCCACAAGAAAAGGAGGTAGGAACAAGGTTCTCAGGGATTTTGTTCTTCCCCCCACATAGGTTCCCATTGGAGACTTTCCTGGTCAGGAGGGTTAGGGAATGCCCAATCCATCCCTCCTGGCCAGAGCCCTTTGTACTGTAATTCCCTAGATTTCTTCTCTTCCTGCCTGAAGTCCTCTCCATCACAAACCTAACACAGAAACTCAAGATCTCTATTCCAAATATCCCAAGACCTTTAATCCCATGCCATGTCTCTTCTTTTTGCCATAACATGCTGATAATCCAGCCTGTCCCACAATAAATGGACTGTAGTCACCAATGTCATTTAACATGGGTAAGGCAAAACCCAGTCACAATGACTTTGGTCACTCCTGGACTAGAGCATGTTGACATTTATAGACCACCGTCCCCATGCAGAACATTACACAAGAAACAAAGGCAATGCATCTCCCAGGGACCTGTTTCTCTAAAGAATCCAGGTGATTCCCAGGCGCTTGGTAACAGCACAGAATAGGCTGCTGTTAGAATTCAAAAGCCAGTGAAATAGCCTTTCCCTGCAGGCTTGCTTTCTGTGAGGCATTTCTGATGAGAATCCAGTGTCTCCACAGAGGCCTGGCGTATGAAATCCAAATGACATACACAGCATTCCCCTCTTTAGAAGTGGCTGTGTGAAGCACAAAATCCCTTTGCAATTCACTCTGGTGATGGGAGGCAGCTCCCTATGTTCAGATCTATGTTCAGGCTGAAGACCTGCAAGGCTTGTAGCCCAGGAGCTACTTCCCCTGCCCATGATCCTCTCAGCTCAGGGGAGAGCCAATCTCCTTCATCCTTCAGAGCATGGTGGAGGAGCCACAGGCGCAACCACCCTCTTGCTTTTTCCATCCCCCTGGAAACACCCTGGGACCACATAGAATCACAGAATGGTTTGGGTTGGAAAGGACCTTAAGATCACTCATTTCCACCCCCCTGCAATGGGAAGGGACACCTCATACCAGACCATGTCACCCAAGGCTCTGTCCAGCCTGGCATTGAACACTGCCAGGGATGGAGCATTCACAACTTCCCTGGGCAACCCATTTCAGTGCCTCAGCACCCTCACAGTAAAGAACTTCTTCCTTATATCTAACCTGAATTTCCCCTGTTTCAGTTTGAACCCATCACCCCTTGTCCTGTCACTGCAGTCCCTAATGAAGAGTCCCTCTGCAGCATCCTTGTAGCCCCCTTCAGACACTGGAAGCTGCTCTGAGGTCTCCACGCAGCTTCTCTTCTCCAGGCTGAACAGCCCCAGCTTTCTCAGCCTGTCTTCATACATCTTGTCTTTCCATTCCCATCTCTGGAGCCTTCCTGCTGATATCAGAAAAGGCACGTCTACAACTGCACATTTTGGGCTATTTTGTGATGGGGACAGGTTAAAAATGAGTCATGGTCATTTTCATGAATTACTCGCACAGCAGAGTGTTTCCACACAGCGAGCCATTATGAACCCATAGGTGGAGAAGATAATTATGGCTGGGGTAAAGCTGTGCCTAATTTCCCACTCCATAAAGGGGAGACAATAGGTCCCGTTCCTCATGGAGGTGTGCGACGATTTAATCACGAGGGGAGCTCTGTATTTATAGATTCTAAAGACACCACTATGATTATATAGCCCCACCTTCTGCATCACAAAGCACAAAGCACATCAGCCACTAACGTCTATGTCGAGTTCATGATGTTTGCTTGAGCTTGTAGCACATCCCTGAGCAAGATAATTCACGTGGCCAATCTGAACGCATGCATCAAGTCATGAAGCCCGTTTTCTGTGTTGACTTACACACAGCATTGTTATTTCAGCTTGGGAGTAAAATATCCATTTAATGGTATCTGTTGGTTTATCTACACCCTGCTCACTGCAAGATCAGAGCAATGTCAGCCAGTCAGTGCCCTGGGCAAAGAAAGAGCCTGACACATCCCTGAGCCATCATCACAGAGAAATTGTAGTTATCAGCATGCATGGCCCTAACAGCAGCAGAATGTTCTTCCTTGGGCTGTGAGTGATACCAGGAGCCCATCAGCTGGATGGGTCTATGGGTTTAGCCCATGTAATTCACCATTTGGTCATGTACCACATTACAAAGGACAAAGGGTTTCCTTTGGTTCCCAAGTTAAATCTTTGTACAACGACCTCATGAACAAGCATGGTACTGACTGGGATCTCTTTGCAGGAATGTGTATGGATAGGCCAACATCAAACTTACAGGAAAGGTACACCCATGCAGCTGTAAGTCTGGTTTAACAGACCATAAGAACAGACTTGGTGAAAGAGCTGTCGTTTGAATGTGGTTTCCACATGGTGAAGAACCTTGTTATTCAGGGAATCAGTTTAACCTGCTGTGTTTTGTTGCTTTATGATGTGTCAGGCAGTAGTGTTGTCCCCCATCACAGCATTTTGCTCTTGCCAATGCATTGCCTAGATAGAGCTAATGTAGCCTAGGGTTATTTTTCCTATTCTGTTGGATGTGGGATCACTGCCATACATTTGAAGATGTTTTACTCCACATAGGAGGAGGCAATGTGCTTCCTGATGGTATACATGGAGAAAACAGACCTGTGACTAGCTGTGAGGGCTCTGAAGACAAGTTTATCCTTTGTCACATGCAAGAAAGCTAATGTGAAGACACAGCTGCTGGTTGACCTCTAAAATGGCAACAAGGTCTGGCCCAGGGGGACAGCATCCTCTGAAGCCTTCAGTTATCGGGTGAAGATTGAAGATGCTTTCTAAAAGTGACGTGAGATGACATGATCAAAACAATTTCTATGCCAAATGTTGGATGGGGAGGGGGTATCCTTTCTGATCACTGTGTCCTCTAAAGAGTAAAACTAGCAGTGGATAAGCTCCGAGGGAGTCAGGGGGAAGGTGTGAAGGCTTTGTGCGGTGTGCTGTGCCTTCAGGAAAGACTGAAATAAAGGCTGTGCTTGAGCATCTGCCATAGGGACCCAGAGCTAGGAGGGCCAGCTCGAATCCAGACCAAAGATGCTATGAGGGGACTTATGATCGTATTTTACAGGATTTCATGTTTGTGTCTTCTTTTGATGGCCTTCCTGAAGTTGGCAACACAAACTGACCCATGATTTAAAGGCTCCAAGTTCTGGAGAAGCTGCTGCATTCCTAGGTAAGTAATTTCCCAGGAAACCCCTAAGAAGATCACTCCGTATTCCCATCTGAATTTACTTTCTGTCTTGGCTGCAGTGTCTAACCACCATATGTATTTACTCCATTCCCCCAGGCACAAAAGCTGACTTGAACATAGTCAAACAGTGGCACTCTGCTAATGCTAATCAGAGAACACACACTCAGCAGCTCTTTGTGGTCCCCAGCTATTTTCCATTGGTGGTCAATTAGAGGACTATATTATTTGCAGCATGTCCCAAGACTGATAACAAGGTCTACACTTGGAAGAAAAAGGATATACTCCTCAGAGGACCAGCTTGTGGTAATATATGGAGTAATAAACCCAATAATGCCACTGAAACAAGGAGCAAAGATTGGTTTATGGGACAGCTGGATGTTTTAATGGAGAAATATAGCATTAAGGGACATGGTGACAAATCAAGAGAGGTGGGGTTGAGGCTCGCAGAAACCACACAGGCGGAAGAGATGGGAAATAGCTTTTTCTTGTTCAATAAGCCCCTACCTCCCTTTTAATAGCAAGGAGAAAATGTTCCTCATGGGAAAGTGTTTTACACAACTTCATGGAGATGAGATGACCACAGCTTCGGCTCATAGACTTGTGCATGGCAGCTTCTGCTGTCCAATGCTGCTGCGTGGCACCATTGCTGTGCCTCTGGGCTGTGCGATGCTCACGTGGCAATCAGAAAGTCATCCTTCTGCTTTTCCCTCCACTCATCAGCATCCTTAAGTGACCCACGCTTCCTCCCTCAACTCCAACCCCCATCCTATACCTTAATCTCTGCTTGGAAACACACAGCACCAATTGGAAAGAGAGGTTGAAAATCAAGAGCGATGCTTTTAGCCTTTCATAAGGATCTAGAACACTTGACCTTTTTTCCTCCCACTGGGTTACTCCTCTCCTTTTAATAAATCAAATAAAACTGTAGAAGCAGTGCATTTCATCTTGTCTGGACTGTTATATTTAATCTCCCGAGTGGGTGGAGGTAGGTGTGTATGGAGGGGAATGGCTCCGAAGCCTGAAAACATGAGAGATGACTCTCTTAAGCTCTTCTGATTTCACAGAGAGTTGCCAGATAGGACTTTAATTAGGGCCTATCAAAACCAATCAGGAAAAGCAAAGGTTTGTCAAGTGGTTTGCTGCCGCAAAGCTTTTTATATTTGTACCAAGGGTTTTTTCTTGGCCTTGTGCACAAATTTATTCATCCTAACAATTTTACAGCTGCGCTCCCTTGCTTATAGTGCATCTCTCTGCATGAGAAACCTCTTTTATCATCTTTGCCTCTTGCTCAATTGGTAATTCTCCTGCTGGGATGGGCAGGAGCACTCAGGCATTACCAGGGTGGAGATTAGATTTTCACTTTGCACTGTTCTGGTAGCTCAGAACATTTAACTCATGTGCTGATAATGCCATTATTTGTGTTTCACCTGCAAAGCCGGTTGGGAAGTCGAGTCCCCATCACTCAGCATTGTAAAACACAGACATAGAATCATAGAATCACAGATTTGGGTTTGGGTTGGAAAGGACCTGAAGCTCATCCAGTTCCAAGCCCCTGCCATGGGCAGGGACACCTCACACTAAACCATGTCACCCAAGGCTCTGTCCAACCTGGCCTTGAACACTGCCAGGGATGGAGCATTCACTACTTCTCTGGGCACCCTGTTCCAGCTCCTCACCACCCACACAATAAAGAACTTCTTCCTTAGATCTAACCTGAACTTCCCCTGCTTCAGTCTGAACCCATCACCCCTTGTCCCATCTCTACAAGAGTCCCTGATGGAGAGTCCCTCTGCAGCATCCTTGTAGCCCCTTCAGACACTGGAAGCTGCTCTGAGGTCTCCATGCAGCTTCTCTTCTCCAGGTTGAGAAGATAAATATAAAGCATGATAAATAATCATATTTTATAGCTTGTCAAGGAAACCAGCACAATTTTAAAAGGAAAATTAGAATGTTTTCTTTAGCAGATTTTAGTGGAAAAGTCTTTTCCCCCGTTTTTAATCCCACAGTGTGGTTCACATTATCTATGGAATTCTCAGCTCTGCTGGGTTTTCAGAGATTTCGGTCAGTAGGGAGCGGTTCAGCTACTGGAAGCCAGGATCATCTTGAAGTGCTTTGCTGCATCAGAGCTCCCATTATCAAGATATTGGTCACACCAGCACTGAGATCCGGGAATATTTCTTGTTCAGAAAACACCATTTTGACTAAAATTGTTAACTTTGGGGTAATGCAGCTGCAGAAGGGAAATATATGACAACTGGAGGCTGTGAAAACAGAGTGGGATCACCAAACACATCTGGAAATGCTTTAATTACTGCGCATTCAACTTTGAACTGCTTGGTTCCTATGTAAACACAAGGCTAGTAATTAAAATACAAGCTTTAGCTCATGTGGATTGCCATCTTTTCACTACTGATTTGGAGAAGGGAGGGAAAGAGAAGGGGTAATTTTATGTTTGTAGATTTGGAGGCCAAAAGGACTGTTTGATGTGACTGGATGTATAACAGACCGCTCAATTCCACTCTGTTACTCCTCTTTTAAGCCCAAAACCTGGTGGTCACAAATGTATGTTTTCCTGAAGACATTTAATCTTGAGAGGAGAACATCGAGTAATGATGTTACACCTTGGAGAGCGGAGGGAATACTTGTTTAATGAGTTCTAAGAAAGCATAAAGATAATGTAAAGCTTTTCAAGTCCATCTTTTAAACAGTCCAAGGGTGAATGACATTTCCATTTGATTTGCAATGAACCAGTTACAAAAAGCCATGGCTTTATCTGTAATGAATTGTATATTTCATTTAAGATGTGTTAATATAAAACTAATGGAGGTCCAAAGGAGATACAGTCAAAAAGCAGTTGACTTGGTAAATTATTCCAAGGAATTACTTCGAGTAAGCTTGAATTTGCCGACTTGCCATGAAATCTTGCGCACGTGGCTCGGGATGATAAATTAACTGCACTGTAAAACTGTTTTAAATACCTTTTTGATTGCATTAACGAAGCTGCATGGTCATAGAAGGCTTTTTGCACAGTATTAGGGAGTGCCTCATCCACTGGCCATCATTTTGAGGGAGCAAGTCCTTTCTGTCTCTGGGTGGCTGGGTGGTCTTTGTGAAGGCAGAGCAGCTCTCCACAGTGCATGCTTCAGACCCCATCAGAGCACCTGTGGGCTGCGTGAAAGCAATGCCAAGCTGCAGATGGTGTTATTGCAGAGCTTGCCTTGAAATGCTGCACGCTCTGGCTCTTCTGGATCTGCTTCTGTGCTCAGAAGATATCTCTGTGCTGTGCTGGTGGAAGCTACACCACTGTCATAAACAGGGAAGTGCAGGTTAGATACAAGGTAGAAGTTCTTCCCTGTGAGGGTCCTGAGGATCTGGCACAACTTGAAGAAACTGTAATGCTCCATCCCTGGCAGTGCTCAAGGCCAGGTTGGACAGAGCCTTGGGTGCCATGGTTTAGTGTGAGGTGTCCCTGTCCGTGGCAGGGGCTTGGAACTGGATGATCTTAAGGTCCTTTCCAACCCAAGCCATTCTATGATTCTATGATTCTATGCCTTTGGCTGGTTCACTGGGATGCTCATGATTGGGCTTGGCTGAAGAGAGCTCTGTGGTTATTTGAGATTAGACCAATCCCTCTTTTAAGTGTTTCTTCTCTGCTTGCTGTGGAAGATGTTCAGGTAGCTAATTATGACCCAATATATGGTTAAAATCCAGCGCGTAAAGCGGGGGGATGCAAAGCTGGAGGAGGACTTTTTGTAAAAGCAAGCAGTGACAGCACTGGAGCCAGGCTGAGAGAGCTGGGCTGGGGCAGCCTGGAGAAGAGAAGGCTCCTGAAGGGGAGACCTGAGAGCAGCTCCAGTGCCTAAAGGGGCTGCAGGAAAGCTGGAGAGGGGCTTTGGACAAGGGCCTGTAGGGACAGGCCAAGGGGAATGGCTTTAACCTGCCCGAGGGGGGGCTGAGATGAGCTCTTGGGCAGAAGCTCTTCCCTGGGAGGGTGCTGAGGCGCTGGCACAGGGTGCCCAGAGAAGCTGTGGCTGCCCCATCCCTGGCAGTGTTCAAGGCCAGGTTGGACACAGGGGCTTGGAGCAAGCTGCTCTAGTGGAAGGGGTCCCTGCCCATGGCAGGGGTTGGAACTGGATGAGCTTTAAGGTCCCTTCCAATCCCAAACAATCTGGGATTCTATGAACGTTATGTAAGGTAAATCAGATTCCTTATTGTTGAAGGTAACTCCATGGTTACACCATGACCCAGCTCGTCCATCTATGGCTAAACCCAAGGAAGCCTCAGGATGAGCAAAGTCTAATTCTATGCACAAAAGCAGCAAGTCTTTTAGGAATCAAATTGTCCTTGGAAAGCCAGGACTAAAGAAGCCAAGGAGCCTGGACTGACATCCTAATGTTGCACTGTATTGCCAGTAGAGATGGAAAGAACTTGACTTCTGCATTTTCTCTTCTGACTGCCTTTAGTTTCCTGCCGGTTTCTAATGTAGAAAACTTGAAAATTTGGGGAAATGAAGAAAAACCACTTGGTGTGAAATATAACCTTCTGAATAAAACCTGGAAACTAGAGTAACTATTATGACACTACCGCACCTTTTACTAATAAATATTCTGAATTATGTCAGTGTATATCAAAATGTATAATATTAGTAGTAATGATTTCCAGCAATTTTAGACTTTACTACTGGTACTTACAGAGCATTGTTATACTGAATTATACTGAATATATATAAAGGTGACATTTTCCCCAAGCTTTCTTCCAGAGCGATGAAGATTTTCCTCCCCATTTGCATGACAATATGAGAGGATGTAACCTTTCTTTTTTGCAAGTCAACAATATTGATGCTTCTTATTTTCAAGTTTGTAATTTCCCTACCTGTTTTATCAGTGTTTATAAAGATAAAACGTATGCAAGCGCTTCAGTCTGCAGCACTATTGCATGTGTGAGGTGTATCTGCATTATTGGGAAGTAAACAATTGGAAAGGAAAACAATACAGATAAAACCAGAAGATTCCATTGTGCTGTTGGGCAAAACCCTCTGAAGTCCTGTGTTCTGCTTCCCTTGTCTCAAAACTGGTTTACTACAGGTAGAAAAGGCAGAAAGGAGAAGTGAGGATCATAGAATCATAGAATGGTTTTGGTTGGGAAGGATCTTAAGATCATCCAGTTCCAACCCCCTGCCATGGGCAGGGACACCTCACACTAGACCATGTTGCCCAAGGCTCTGTCCAGCCTGGCCTTGAACACTGCCAGGGATGGGGCATTTACCACTTCTTTGGGCAGCCCATTCCAGTGCCTCAGCACCCTCACAGTAAAGAACTTCTTCCTTATCTCCCACCTGAACTTCCCCTATTTAAGTTTAAACCTGTTACCCTTGTCCTGTCGCTACAGAGGATGATGAAAGGTATGGCATGGTTTCTGTATGAACAGCTGAGAAGGAAACAGGAGTCTATAAAATCATGAGTGACAAGGAGAAGCTAAATAGGGAATAGCTAATCGTGTTTTCCAATGCAAGAGTCATTACACTGGAATAACAGGAGCATTTTACTGTTTAAAATGAAATGAAAAGGAGCCAGATGAGGAATGTTATGTATAAGTTCACAGCTTCTAGCAAAAACCTGACTCTGGACATCTTATATTCACAGCACCAAAGGGACCGACTGATATCTCTTCTGTAATACAGAGGTTACAGTTTCAGTGTCAGATGTAGGGTGTGAAGCAGAGGATCAACCAAGAAAACTAGTGATAGTTGATATACTCCTGAGAGTATTTGATGAGGCTGTACTTGAAACTGATACAGGGAGCAGTGTAATACAAGCATGTTTGATCAGAAAGAATCATCCTGTTTCAAAACCAACGTGGAATAAATTTACATCAGAGGGTGAGATGGAAACCATCACGGTTGGGATTGTGTGCTGGCCAGAGAGTTATACACCTTCTT